CAAAAGACCAAAGTAAACTGCTGCACCGTGTAGCTAAGTGGTTGCCTGAAACAAACCTTCTCATTGGCACTTCAATCCCTCAGACAACTAAAGTGATAGCAGTCAAGTGGGGGACGAAGTGGGGAAAATAGGCATCGTGGGATGTAAGTAAGTTCTTTTTGGGTTGGAAATTTATAATGCTGAGACCATATTATAGAGAGGGAATATTTTTAGCTTTTGTGATGGACTGATGGCTGTGATATTCTCAATTTCTTTTTTACATCATCATCTCTTTAGTCTCTTGGTAAATTGTGACTTACATTTGTATGTTCACCAGAGGTTTAACATCTTAGAGATTTTATTAAATTTGTTTGGTTTGGAGCATATGTATGTAGGTGAGATGAAACTGAGGAGAAATAATCATGTCAGTGAAATTAAGAATAAGTATTTGAGCCGTGTCATGACAAAACCAACTTAATGGCTTTGCAACCAGCATGGATCCAGACCAGCCTGTGCATCCGCCCAGTCTGATCAGGATCCATGCTGTTCGCTTACCAACCCTATTACAAATAGAGAAACTAATAACAAACAGCATGGATCCTGATCAGACTGCGCGGATGCGCAGGCTGGTCTGGATCCATGCTGGTCGCAAACACACTATGTTGGTTTTGTAATGACACGGCTCATTTGAATGTGAAAAAATAACCTCTGAAACTTAAATTAAATGATAGAAACTATACATACGGTGATATAGTATTGATATATGTTGTCTATCCTAGTGTAGTTTGCCTTAATAAGGTATAATCAAACAAAGAAAATAAAATGAAATACTCTTAGGTCATAAAATGTTAAGAAATGTCTGAAACTTCACATCTCGGAGATTTTATAGAATTGACTAAATATAACATTGGCTTGAAAGCCCCCTGCAAATATAATGCCTACCACAAGCATTGCAGTATAGTCTCAAATAGCCAAAACTTCAATTGATCCCTTTTAATGAAAGGAAATCCGAACTTTTGTAAAACACGTAAGTTTAAATTCTTATTTCAATTTCTATTTTTAGCTTTGTGATAGTGAATCAAGAGCTGAAGGGGTATGTTGTTACGCGCCTCATTCCCGCCGAATCACATGTATCGATTTTCCTGTACACTCGCCAGAGAAGATGTATTCTTGTGGCTATGATGGAAGTCTGAGATGTGGAGATATGCAAAAAGAAATCTTCATGGATGTAAGGTTTCATTTTTCGTATATGCCCCATAATAAATATATTGAAGATAAGCATTGGTGACCACTTTGATTTTTATTGTACCAAAATGTGAAAATTAAGAAAAATATATTGAGACCATATGGCATGTGAGAAATCAAACAATGGGTTGTCCGTGGTTGATTGGTTATGGTCATTGATTTCAAACCACTTGGCCTTCACTGCTGTGGGTTCGAATCCTGACAGGCACTTTGGATTCTTTCATGATAGGACCCTATCCAGCTAGCTTATAAAACATGGGTGGTTTTACCAATGTGCCCATTTGTGCTTGAAATAATGCAAGGAATAGTCCAGTCATTCTAGCTCAAAATAGAGCCAAACCTCAAACAAATTGCAACAGAAAATATTTTGAGTGTTTTGAAACCCCAGACCTATATTGTATAACATATCAAAAGTCTAGAAAAATTTAATTTGGAGAATGTTTTCAAAAATTGAGATCAAATATATGGGTATCATTGTATTTATTTTTATCTTAATTTGAAACTCAATGTAACACAACAATACATTTCCCAATCAGTTTTTAATATATAATAATGCATAAAAATATAGCTTAATCTATCCCTATAGTAACATACAGTAATCAAAAAGTTGTTTTGTTTAAAGAAAACTTACTTTTACCTTTCTAAAAAATTTATTAATAACTTAAAGTGGGTGGGGTAATATTATATTTTTACATTGCTGTAGATGCAACAATTTATTGAAAAGCTCTATGTTATAATGATATTAAACAGAAAATACAATAATGGTTTACGGTACATGTTGAAAACTATCAAGTTTCAACGTTTTTATTAAAATTTTATAATTTTACATTCCATCAATATTTAATGCATATATTGAAATATTTATATTGACATTGTACAGCTAGTGGGTGGGGTAATTTTATACAAAAAAGAAACATTAAGGAAATCTATAATATATCTGTGATAATAATATTTGAGTTTTATATAACTTGAAATACTTTCAAGCAACATCTGTTGTATTTTTTTCTGAGTCATTATTAATAACATCATGGCATTTGGGTCAAAAGAGGTGACATTGACCTTTGGAAGGTCAATTTTCAATATATTTGATAACATTTGAGCATAAAATTTAAAAAAAAAAAAATTTGCAAATTTAATTTGTAAAAATATCTTCGGCTAGCATAAGCACAAGAATGTCATGACTTTTACAAAGCGTCACTCGCTTCGTTATTTCTGCTGCGAGCCAATCTTTCACTTTTTACACTAGACTAGATGGTAGCACCTGAATCTTTCTGGTATACTCTTTTCCAGTTCTGAAAATTTAGGGAGCAATTCATGTTTGGATGGTAAGAGCATCGGTTACAAGCAAGTCGTGAACCTGTTCTATCCTTGCTCTTACTAAATATCAGACAAACAAGTGGTCAATTCGCTCTGTAAATACATATATTCAAAGTGTCCTTACTGGCGAAAACATCACACTTCCTTGTTTTACCATTACTTATTACACAGATTGACCACAATAATAAAACAATCTTTTTTGTATGAAAACTTATCAGTCATTGGATCTCAATGGTGGCATCAATGGTTTTCCCTGTTTCTGTCTTAGTGTCTCTTTTAGTGTAATGTGGGTTAGCAGTACATCTTTCTACACTAATGCGAATATATTATTCCGATTCCAACTTTTAACTGTCATTTTAATTTCTCACATGGCAGCAATTTATTCCTTGCATTCCTTTTTCGTTGCCTTTAACTGTCTTGTATGATCATCAAAACAGCCGTTAACAAAAAATCCGACCACGAGTTTCATTCTTGAAAAAACAAAAAACAAAAAAAAAACAATAACTGATATGTAAGATTTATAAAATCTGTTTTTTTACAGTAATATGGAGGTTGATCCAGAATTACCCAAAAATTTGTTTATAATTCTGATAATTTTTTTATGTTTTCTTCATTAAATTTATAAATGCGCAAAGATCGATGTTTCTTCTATTTGATTGCCAAATATAATTGATTATTAAACATCACAGTACCAGTCTCAGGCCGCCTTAAATAACCCTGGATAACGCCACAGCAGCGCAACTCAAAAAGAGACACGACATTCGTTGAAATTTATTAAACACCAAAGTGCCCCGACACAAAAAGGGATCATGTCCAAATCTTTGCCGAAAGGTTAATGTAAAAGCCTGCTAAAATTTCACGTCGTTTGTATTATTGTGTAATCATTTGTTATTTCAACGTTTATTTATGGCAAAACGTCTTCATTAAGGCGTCGGATAAGCGGCACTTTCATAAAATTTGTCACTGTTTTAAGACAGCCTAACCATAGAACATCTAATATGAAAAAAAGAAATTGACACAAGTATTTTTGTTAGTTGTCATGCATACAAACTTTTTGAGGGGTAAAGAAGTTTTTTTTACCAGACTGTTTGGAGTAATTTTTAGAGATAAATACATATCGTTGGCGGCATAGAGAATTGCGTAAAGTTAACGTTTCTCTTGGCGTCGTGTTGGCGAATTTGAAAAAAAAATATGCTGTCATTATGTGGCCTTGCACAATTTCAATGCGATTAAAAAAAAAAATTAATTCTAATTGACGATTATGTGCATGTTTTTCAATAACTTTATTTGTTTTCTTATAGCACTTTTTATCTAATTTAAATTAAATGAATCATATATTTTTATGCCTTTCAAACTTTAAAGATGTTGTATGAATACAGGCAATCAAAGCAATTAAAGCAAGTTCAATAGTCATAGGTTAAGGTTGTGTAGTCACTTAACAGTGAATGGCACGGGGGATTCCCTATGTATAAAGAACATAGAACATCAACCTTTTTAAGCATAATGTGACAAATCCTATGTTTGCTTATTAGTAGGCATACTGTGTTTAAATTATCAATATTCTTGTTTCCTTGTAAAGAGGATATAATTTAACGCAGTAATAAAAGTTGTTTGTTATATGAACTTTGAAATTTGGAATTTAATTGTTAATTATACGGGGTATTTACTGGGATCATCCCTTGCATTCTTGTATTCTGGTTATTGGGTAGCTGATTACGTATTGTTTCATGTTATCCCAGACAGTAGTGTTATTATAAGAGTATTTTTTCCTAAAGGCCTTTCCTAAAATTGTTTTAAGTGTATTTATTTGATCCAAAGTTGCTGATAATGACACACTTTCTTTGCCATATCAGACTGGCGTTTACCGTTTTGTATTACCCATGCCGGAAATTTCATCTGGCATTAGGGGTGCCAGATGAGTCGCGTGCTGTTACAATGTCAACGGCTTAAGCCCCAGTCCACATTAGAGCTTATAACAGACCAGTGAAGACCAGTTCACGGATCACAGTGACCCTCTGGTTCGCAGACAATCTTTAAAACGTCTTACGACGGTCATCGGTGATCTTTGAAAGTCGCAGGCTATCTTTATTTTAGGTCCCACAGATCCAAATTTTCAGTCGGGTAGAGGAGGTTTTTTGAAAGCTTGCACAAAAACCTCCTTGCGATCAAAAAGGTCGATAGTGATCTTATAAAGGTCTTAGGGCTGTCGCACGATGGTCGTTCAGAAGTGCGACAATCTTACGCACAAGTGTCCTTTACAAATGCCACTAGTCACTGGATAATCTTGAGTAAGTCTTTAGTTATCGTGTGAATGGTTCGTACGACAGGTTGTAGGTGATGCAATGACAGGGTCACGGGTAGTCGTAATGAATCCTCACAATCTTTGAGACCATCGTACTTTTGCTTATGACCTGTCGTGCGATTGTCAATGATGACTGGTCTTACGATAGTCGCAGAAGTTAAATTTATACGTGCAAAAAATGGTTTTGGTCGCAGACAATCGCTGATGATCGTCAGTTTTACAAGTCGCCGGTGGTCGCAAGTAATCTTAACTCTAGTGTGACTGGGGTTTTAGGATGACGTAATTTTACCGTTATGAATGAAGTTCTAATTTCATACGCTGTTGTAGTTTCGGTTGTAATGGCATAAATTCCCATTGAAAATTAAGATAAAGAATTCAAAATATAATGTTATGTCGTAAAATATGCAAGAAAAACTAGAACTGCCACTATCATGGCGTGAATACCCCCGCATACCACTTTGTCATAATCAACAGTGGCCATTAAGAGCTCAAGGAAAACCTCCCTGCCAAATCTGAGGTTACTAAGCCAGTACATTGCTAAGTTATGTATTCTACATGCTTCAAATGTGAAAATGTCAAAATCAATACATTGCGGACAGGACATTCTTTAGCAATTGAGAAGAAAAGCTTTTGTCAAAGTCCCTGTGACCTTGACCTTTGACCCAGTGACCTCAAAATCAATAGGGGTCACCTTATAGTCATGATCAACATCCATGCCATATAAGAAGACTGTGGGTCAAAGGAATCTTAAGTTAATGGGTGGACAAACTTTTTGAAGTCAAAGTCCCTATGACCTTGACCTTTGATCCAATGACCTCAAAATCAATAGGGGTCATCTACTAATCATAACTATTTACCTCCATGCCAAATATGAAGACTGTGGGTCAAAGGAATCTTAAGTTATAGGGCGGACAAGCTTTTTGAAGTCAAGGCCCCTGTGACCTTGACCTTTGACCTGGTGACCTCAAAGTCAATAGGGGTCATCTACTAATCATGACTAACCTCCATGCCAAATATGAAGACTGTGGGTCAAAGGAATCTTAAGTTATTGGGCGGACAAGGTTTTTGAAAGTCAAGGCCCCTGTGACCTTGACCTTTGACCTGGTGACCTCAAAGTCAATAGGGGTCATCTACTTATCATGACTAGCCTCCATGCCAAATATGAAGACTGTGGGTCAAAGGAATCTTAAGTTATTGGGCGGAACAAGCTTTTTGAAGTCAAGGCCCCTGTGACCTTGACCTTTGACCTGGTGACCTCAAAATCAATAGGGGTCATCTACTAATCATGACTTAACTCCATGCCAAATATGAAGACTGTGGGTCGAAGGAATCTTAAGTTATTAAGCGGACAAGCTTTTTGAAGT